TGCCATCCGTTGTTTAAATTTATCATCGATTTTCTTCGTGCCTTGCTGCATTAGTGACAACTTAAATGGCGACATCCGTCTTGCAATCAGAACACTCCCACGGGTTTTCGCTGCTGCGCCCGGAAATCTCAAATGACGAACGAACAGACGCAAACTCAATGACGCCTTTGTCCAGACGAAAGCCAGGCCTCGCCAAAACAAGTCTTTATGGCTGAAAACAACAGCAAAGTGCCACGAAACAGGTACGTACATTTACGCTTTGTAAAATGTTGGCATGTCTTGGATGATCATCCAGTTCGACTACTGAGATGCTCCTAAGTTGTGTCGTTGTAAGCTAAAAGTAGCCCCTCGTGTCGACATCTTGCATTCCGTTTTCCGCACCACCACCGACTGATCATGTCGTCCAACCGTCTATGTAACCTTACCTGGCAGTTGCTACACACAAACTAGTACGTGCTATCCGTAACTAAGCATCACCTGGCAACATGCAGTGGTCTCGTTCTCTCTCATCCTATTCTATCCAGTCCAAGCATGATCGAAAGTTTTCCGGTTCTGACATCGGTATTAGGAAAGATAATCGGCTCTCGTCTGGCGTGTGCAGAAATCCATTACACAGGTAGATTATCTACACGAGAACTCCGGAACACACGTTTGTGAAAATGCATGCACACCTACCCACGTAAAACAAGATCGTGACGATGCGATTTTCACAATTTCAACAAGGTCAGATCTAGTCACTATAGGCTTACTAAGGTGAACAACGCTTTCTTTAGTGTATGCAGAAAACCATCATAGAAATTCCAAAAATTGCTCCACCTAACACCGTACGAAATAATCGCACAATAACAAACCAAATTAAAAGGTTCCACGACATCGCGGAAAGCCCTACCAATCCCATGGACTATTCACGCACGCTATTCTAGTCGCTCTTTTATGCATTCTAGGTTGATTCTGCAGTACACTGACTAAATCTGGTGTCATGCATTTAGGCCCACTTCAACTAAACTTGGACCTACGCACCACTTCTATTGCTCTTTGCCCACAGTCGCATCCATCCGACAAACAACAAATCAATCAGAGACGTACTTGGTGGATCTGCGATGCCAGTTCTCGTGTCCGCGCTATGAACAGAGCCTGTGCCTCTTTCCTGGAACACTCAATGCGTTGCAGAGTGCCGATGCAAAAGGTGCCTGCTCTCCCCGATCCACTTTGGGCCTGAACCACCACATCTCGTCCCTTCATTATCTCACCGAAGGCACGCTGTTGAACCAACGACGGTTTCTCGAAACCTGCTCACCCATGTGCAAACAAGAGGGTTATTAATACGTCACAATGCAAATCACCACTAGTGCATGAATGTACGACTACACGGTGGCAAATACCCCATCCATAGCGACATCAAATCTCTTCGTGAAGACCGGATACGACAACTGACCAACTCCCCTCCAAACAGAGCACAATAATTGAAGGTAAGAAGCTCTGGCCGATTTATTCAATATTGGAAAAACACTAACGTAGACCTACTTGGCACGCCTTTAACCCATTACCAAGTAGACTCCACTGGTACAGACCAAATTAAGTGTTCTCGATGCATGAGTTGAAACTAGTGCGTATATTGGTGAACCCACCGAAGTAGACTATTTTTAGGCCACTGAAACAACATTTCCAATTAATCATCTTCTTTCCCTGCACATGCGTCTACGCGATTCGTGAGGCGAATTTCTAGCTCGATTATCAAACTATTGTTGTAATACGGGTGCCATAATACCAGAGGGAATTTCGTCAAGAGCTAACACACTCAAAATGCCAAAAAAACATCAATTGATCGAACGCTACCTAGAACAAACCCAACTGCAAATGCCATGCAACGCAGTGTGGATTCGATACATTTAATAGTATAAACAAAGTGGGCGAATGCGTCAATTGGTAGAAGCTGTTACCCAGCCCTCATCATTATAACATCGAACAACTAAATGCAAATACAGACGAACCGTTCGTTGGCTGCCCTATGAAGGGCAGCTCTCGCAGACCCACAAGAGAGGCGGCGGTAACCTCGGGGAGCAGCACCGCAATAACACCTTCGCTGCTTAAATACTGCGATTTGTCCGTAGAATGGCTTAAACAAAGTGTGCGTCTAATCACGTTTGGCACCTATTACATCCCTCACTAATCATATTTGTTCTTGTCGTATTTAATTCAATCGAATAAAACTATTTTAACGTTGCTTGTGCAAAATGCTTCAGGAGGAGACGTCGATTTCACGTCAAGTTAGAATTCCAGGTTTATCTACATTATTTCACAGCCCTGAGACTCTCGTTACCTTTAATCAACAAACAGTAGTGTTTTTTTGCACTTGTAGTAAATGCGAAAAGCGTTTAGATATCAACTAGTGGAGGAATGATTGCTTTGCGCAATTGCATCATGTTTAGGGCAAGTTGAACCAAGAGAAGAGAATGGCAATTAATACTATTCAAGACTCAACAGGTTACCGCTCTAAGAAGCATTTTTTTTGTATTTTTTGCAGCACTTGTGGGATGGAAGCAGCGAAGTTACTAATGTGTCTCGATTGTCAATGCCAACCCTCTCGTTCGTCCACGTATACTCAAGATTGATCGTGAAATGCATCGACGTGATTCTTGCGCGTCAAATCTCGGCGCACACTCAGATGCCCTGAATCATCAATGCGGCGCCTTCATTGCTCTTGTGGACATATTCTATCATGCGCTACTGCGCACAGTCCCACGTCTTCTGATACCACGCATCTCGCAGTCCTATTCCCATCAGCATAAATTTGCCTTGTCACATCTGGACATGAGTGTGACATACGAGGATACTGTGACATCTAATTCACAACCCATTCTTGCGTACGAACACATTCCCACACACCAATTTTGATTTACCAAATAAACGGTTGTCTCTGCCATCTCTGGTATTTTGAAAATCACCAGGTGCCTACATTTTGCAGCCTAACCAAAGCAACGAATTTGCCATCGTGTGATTCGAGGTCGACATCGTAGTATTAGACTTGGTGCATTTGGCTCTAGATGCAGAATGGCATACAGACTGCTGCAGCAGCTGACTTGCAGTTTTGTGAGAATATGGGGATTGGTACATGGAACTGAGTTAATTTAAGCGTCCTTCTGCAACCTCGCAGTCGTTTGACGTTGCATTTCGTATCTGGCTTTAGCGATTTGCATGCCGTTACATAGGAATTCGCGCATCGCATTTTATAGGTTCCGGAACAATCGCTAAAATAGAATCAACATTTCCAATACATTGGTTAGTTATCTTAGAAATGCCGTAGGTGATGCTTTTGTTTCTTCAGTGAATCACATATTGTTGTTATGA